GTCTTTGTAATAGGAGCAAATCAATATGTTTGTCAATTATCAAATAATTTACTCACAGGGGCTTAGAAGACAGAGACCTCATTTTTAATACTACATATTTAACTGTTTACTCTTTAGTGCACTTGAGGGTGCTTTGTTGTGCTTTCTTTGTGAATTTTTTTCATTTAAATCTGATTGGTTTGGTTTGGTTTTTGCCCGACTGGTAACACGCCATCCTCTATCGGAATAGAGGATTACAGGAAAACTGAAGCTCCAGAGAAGGATATAAGGCTCATTACAGAAACTGTGTTATTGCTGCAATGCCTAATCAGTGTTAATTGATGGTATTTAATTTTACACCAAATCGTTCTGACTGTCTGTTCTTTCCACAAGTTGAGCCCACAGTCAAGCTGAGGTTAGCTGAGTCACCAGAAAGTGAACATCCAGGCATGTTGATGTGCAGCGCGTACAACTTTTATCCCAAACAAATCAAACTGACGTGGCTGAGGGACGGAAAGGAGGCAACATCTAATGTGACTTCCACTGATGAACTACCCAACGGAAACTGGCTCTACCAGATTCACTCCTACCTGGAGATTATACCCAAACCTGGAGAGAACATCAGTTGCATGGTGGAGCACGCCAGCCTCATGGAGCCCAAATTTTATGACTGGGGTAAGACAGTGAAAGGAAGCTTATTCTTGGACCTCATCCTGGTTTATGATCTTATTAAATAAGACTTATTAAATTCACAGTTTATAAATGTAATATAGTGATACATGTGTTTTCAGATCCAACATCCGAGGCAGAGAAGAATAAGATTGCTATAGGTGTAGCAGGGCTGCTGCTGGGTTTGGTGTTTGTACTCAGTGGAGCTGTTTTCTACAAGCGGAACACTACAAGTGAGAAACATGACAAACGTGACCTCCTTAATGTCTCTATCTGTAACCTGAGCAATTATATAAGTACATTTAAGGAATAACTAGTTTAATTGCTCTGTAGGTAACAAGCTGTTCACTCTAACAGTCATTATTTCCACATCTAACTCTACCGCACTTTGTAGCAGCTGCAATTTTAACACATTAACACAAAATTATTGTTATTTAAAACCAATACATTTTAACTCTGTCTTCTTGTTATTATTGTATAGGCCGGATATTGGTGCCAACAAGTTAATCTACCTGTTTGGAGGTACTGTCCGAAGGTGGAATCATCTAAGAAACGATGGCAGCAAATGGAAAAAAGTCAATTTTGAGTTTGCCAACTGGGAAGACACATATACTTTGTGCATTTAGACTGGAGAATTCAGAAATATTCAGCAAAAAAAGGAAAAAAAACATATGACTTAAGACTTTTGTTTATAAAACATCACAACTAAATTAACAATGTAACTAATGATTTAATTTATTTATTTAGATTTCTCAGAGTGTGGGCTGTAAATGTTCATGTTGACAGAGATGCTGCTGTTTTGAAGGTCTACTTGATTGTGAAATGTTTTATTAATATTACTGAAAATGTTAAAAATATATATCTGGGGCTTGGATAAAAGAGATATATTTTATTAATCTAGTCATTCAGTTATTCTAACAAGCTGATTTATTTATAGACTTAATGTGAAACTGCATCGTGCAATATGTTCTTCATTTTCTTGTTCCAGCTGTTTTAACTTAAAGATTTCATGCTTTTCTTTGTCAAGTGTGAACTGGATACCGTTGGGTTCGTAGGGCCCAGTTGTTCAAAAGCAATGTGGCAGGATAAGGATTATTTGATGTGAAATATCAAAATTAACCTGATCTCAGCAGGGGGTTGAATTTGGTCTGGACTACAAAGGAAAAATGAAACAAAAACTCAAAAGGAAAAGAAAAATAGAACCGGTATACTAAGTTTTTTTCACCACTGTTTTTACATTTTGTATTAAGTGGTATATTTATAAAATAAAATATATTACCCTACATAATTGTATTGATGATGCCTTCTTCATAAGTTTTAAATATATAAAATATACGATAAACTGAGTTGTGTGGTGAAGTCATCACGTTAACGTTAACTAAAAAAGGTTATGAATTAAGAATTTTAAAGGTAATCACAGTAGGTAATAGTAAAATCATTAAAAACTTAAATCTATGCATATGATATTAATTTTTGTTGCCATCTGCTGGTCATTTTTTAGTTATAAAGACAGTAAAGACAAACAGTGCAGAACATGTGTTGCTGCACAAAAGCAATCAGAGATGTTCGTGTTTGTGAAGCATGGTGGCAGTAGCATCATGGTGTAGTCCGTCTCAACAGCAGAGGCTGAAGTTTTTACAGTAGACACAGCAGTCACCTCAAGGCGCTTTATATGAAAAGCTAAACCATACAATAACACATACAGAGAACAACCCAACAATCATATGACCCCTTATGAGCAAGCACTTTTGGGGATAGTGGGAAGAAAGAACTCCCTTTTGTCAGGAAGAAACCTCCAACAGAACCAGGCTCAGGAAGGGGCAGCCATCTGCTGCGACCAGGGTGAGGGGAGGAAGACAGGACAAAAGACATTAATTAATCAGTCAATCAATCAATTCAATGCATCATGGGAATCCCCCTAGCAGTCTACACCTGATCCAGGCCTAACTATATGCTTGGCAACAAGGAAAGTTTTAAACCTAATCTTAAAAGCATAGATAGTATCTGTCTCCCGAATACAAACTATTGGAAATATTGGAGATATTGGAAACTGATTCCAAATATGAGGGGCCTGAAAGCTAAAAGCTCTGCCTCACACTCTACTTTTAAATACTCTAGGAACCACAAGCAAGCCCGCAGTCCGAGAGTGAAATGTGGGTTCATTAAAATAAGATGGGGCCTGATTATTTAAGACCTTGTGTGTGAGGAGCAGCATTTTGAATTAAATTCTGGATTTAACAGGGAGCCAATGAAGGGAAGCCAATACAGGAGAAATATGCTCTCTCTTTCTCGTACTGCAGCATTTTGGATTAACCGAAGGTTTTTCAGGGAGTTTTTAGGGTATCCTGATAATAACGATTGCAGTAGTCCAGCCTAGAAGTAATAAATGCATGAACTAGTTTTTCAGCGTCACTCTGAGACAGGATATTTCTAATTTTAGAGATGTTGTGCAAATGGAACAAAGCAGTCCTACATATTTTTTAATACGTGCACTGAAGGACATTTCATGGTCTAAAATGACTCCAAGGTTCCTCACAGTGTAATTGGAGGCCAAGGTAATGCCATCAAGTGTAAGAATCTGGTTAGATACCATATTTCTAAGATTTTCAGGGCAGAGTATAATAACCTTGGTTTTATCTGAAATTAGAAACAGAAAATTAGAGGTCATCCAGATCTTTTTGTCTTTAAGATTTTCCTGCAGTTTAACTAATTGGTGTGTGTTTCCTGGCTTCATGGATAGATAAAGCTGGGTGTCATCCACATAGCAGTGAAAATGTATGCTATGCCTTCTGATAGAGCTACCTAAAGGGAAGCATGTATAATGTAAAGAGAATTGGTCCCAGCACGGAAACCTGTGGCACTCCATAATTACTCTCAGTGTGTGAAGAAGACTCTCCATTTACATGAATAAACTGGAGTGCATTAGATATGATACAACACTATCTGTAATACCTACAGCATGCTCTAATCGCTCTAATAGAATATTATGGTCTAGCAGGACGAGCACAGAGATGAGTCCATTGTCAGAGCGCCATAAGATCATTTGTCACCTTCACTAAAGTTGTTTCTGTCCTGAACTGTAAATGCCAGGTGGATGCTTCTCACCTGGTATTGAAAACTGAGATAAACAGTGAACTGACAGTCTTTCAGAGATAGCAAAAAAGCTCTGGGGTGAATCTGGTCCAGAGTCACTTTCATATCTGAATACACTACAGATGGTAGGTGGCCAGAGTTTTTGAAGTGACTCTGGGATTAAAACATAAAGTACTGAAAACTATCTAACTGACCATTACTTGATTGCATTTGTTTTTTGTTTTTTTTAAACAGTGGTGGAAATACGTTGGTCAGCTGCAGCTGTTGTGGGGGGCATTCTAAATTTTGTGTTTTTGATCTCTTGCCTGACTAAAACATGTTTGTCCTACATTGGCCACTATAGTTAGGATAAGAAAGCAGAACTGACGGCTATCTGCTGACATCTAGTGGTTCCCGCTTGTTACACATTGTGTAAATTTACAGACCTCACAGTACCATATTATTTTAACAAAAGGCCCATTGCTCTCAGACTGCAGGAAAACAGCTTCATCAATTCAGTCATCTGATCTCAACCCAACAGAGCATGCTTTTTAGATTAGATTAGATAAAGCTATTAATCCCTCGGGTGGGTTCCTCCAGGAAATTCTGTATAATTGCAGAAGAATTTTAGTTTTTGAAGACAAGACTTAAGGCAGAGAGACCCCCAAGCAAGCAATACTGAGAACAGCTGCAGTAAAGGCCTGGATGAGCATCTCAAATGAAAGAAAATCCATTTGGTGTCTATTGATTCTAGACTTCAGGCCTTTACTGACTGCAAAGGAATCATCCAAGTACTAAAAACGAATCTTATATTTAAACGGATGTTAGTTTTTCTAGTTATCGTTTATCTAGTTGAATTAAATCTGACTGTATGCTCTTCAATAACACAGTAAGAGAGCTGAGTCCTGTTGCAAAAATATTTACAACCTTACAACCAGAATATTACCAGACAGACAGAGCCAGTAAGGTAGCTGCGAGGACACCTTTTGGTAAGAAGCTGGGCCTGCAGAGGCAGTGTGATGCTTTGTAATATTCTGCTAAGAAACCTTGAGTACCAATCTTCTTATTGATATTACTCATGTAGGCACAGTTAATTTTTTTTGCTTTAGCTTATCATCAGACTCTTTAAAAACCAATCTGGTTTAACCCGAACAACTTAAATTCCTTCACTAAGTGGTTTTAGTGAAGTAAAAAGAGACTTGTCAAAGCATTTAATGTGTTGTTGTTAAAACAAACTCCGTAACATGCCAGCAAAGGCAGAAAAGAAGAAGCCATAAACTATGAGGTAAACAGTGCAGTTTGGTAAACAGTGATTCAAATCTTCTTTGCAGATGTTTATGAGGATGGAATGTTTCAAAGTATTTTGTGCATTTTAGTGAGAAGGACTGGATGTAACTTCTTTCGTTACCAAAGTAAATCCACAGGGACCTGCGAACCCTGCAGCTGTGATTGCAACACCTTGGTCCTGACACACCAACTTCTGCTTTTTGGGTTTCTGCTGCTTGTGTGTAGTCATTCTTATCACACGTGTTACAAGGAAGTTAGAAAGTTTTGGACTAAAACTGTGGTAAAAACCGAGGAATGTGGTGTATTACGCATAGCCTTGTGTAATTTCTCATATTTCTGGCTGATGATGCAAGAACTGTTTATGTAATCACTGACAAATTCAGAATGTCTCCGTTACAGGAAGGAACCTAGGAAGTAAGGTGTGATCAGTCTGTTATTTTCATTGACCAGACAGAGATTAAATGTGTGGCCTTGAATTGGACAATGTTGAATTTCCTGACAATGGCCACTCACACATGAAGCGGCCTGTGGTCATAATAATCAATCTAAGAATGAGTTCCTGACATTCCTTCAAATTTCACCTTTCAATGGGCGTCTTTTGATGTTTCTCTAGACAACCAAATACCCGAGAGTTAAACAGAACGACCTTGTTCGTCTAATTTTCTATTGACATAAATTTATATATTTATTATTTAAGTTTTTATTCTCAGTTGCAATAGTGACCTGTTTTGACAATGATATAAGTTAAGTAAATTCAAGGCTGAAGAGCTTTTTTAATGTTGATTATAAAAGACATGGGGTTGTATACACAGTGCCCACCTATCTTATGATTAACCCAAGTCAAATATCTGGAGATCTGAGAACACAGAAAACAAATGTGTTATACATTACAGAAAAATACAGAAAAATCCACTGGAGGAAAAAGGTACATGAGTTTTACTGCTGTTTACTTCATTTATCTTTGATGTAACATAACTGGTAAGATATGATGGATCTTAGTTGTTTTTAAACCCACCACAGACCCCCTGAGAGCATCCTCTGTCTTGCTGAAGAAGTTGAGCTGGGGGTTGAAAATAGCCTGATCGGCTTTGTGAATCATTTCAACCCACCTTCCATCAATTTCAGCTAAACCAAAAACGGCCATCCAGTGTCTGAGCAATTCGCTGCACAATATTAAGATACAAATATCAGACCTGCAGCAGTAATTTTTCTTTAGGTTATTTTAAACTGAAAGAGGGCGTTACTGCTAGGAATTTACTCCAACTTGAAATACATAACACCATATGCTAGAGTTCTGATTTTAGAACTAAATTCCTTGTTTGCACTGTAATAAATTGCCATAGCGGGGAAATGAAGCAAATTTTGAATACTAATTCATCTCAAGCACAGTTCTTTCTTTTATCGCTTACAAAAACCTTCTTTTTTCTTTCCATGATGAAGGCACCACTGCTTGGATATCAAACAGGTGTGTTATGGCCTTCCTGTATGGTTTCAAAAACAGTTTAAACCAGCTTCAGGTGAAATTTTACACAAGTTTTTACAGTCTGCACAAATCCAGCAGTTAGGGTGAAAATAAATCACACCACATACATACACAGAGCACCACGCCTACTCTTTAAAAAGTTTATTGTTACTCAAGCTGCAGATTCACTTCCTTATGCGAGAAGATCAGATTGATTGCTACTTTCATTCGTCATTTCGTGTTCGTCACCATGCACACTCACAACTTTTTGATACTACCACATGTGCTCTTGATATTTTCAACAGCGGGTAAGAAACTTTAATATATAAACTGTATTGTTTGTGTTACAACAATACAACAATGATATCATTAGAGAAATAAAAATACAAGCAAACCTTAAACTGGTGCTTTTGTTGTGTGTGAGAAGATAAAAAAAACATGAGCATTTCCATATTGGCTAATTGTTGACTTTGTGTTACAGATGCTTACTTTGGTTACGGTGTGATCCGTTGCCTGTTTACTTCTAAAGATGATGTTGTTTATCTGGCGCAAGTCTACTTGAATAAGATGCTTCTGGGCCAGTACAACAGCACTTTGGGGAAATATGTCGGCTACACAGAGAAAACTAAAGAAATTGCAGACAATCTCAATAAAAACAAAGGTTTCCTGGAACATGAGAAAAAGAACAAAGAGAAGTGCAGAACCAACATCCCACTCGTGTTGGACATTCTTTCAAGACCAGGTGAGCACAGCTGAAACTAATGATGTTTTAGGGTTCAGCAGCCTGCTCACTCTGGGGTCTCTTTAGAAACAACTTGATGCTTTAGAGCAGCTTTTCTGAAAACGTTTTAAGAACTTTATGAGGGAATGATTGCAGGAATCTGTTCATCAAGTGGGCTGAAAGAAGTGTTCAGATCATTTCCTTAGTGAAAAGCATTCATGTATCATCGTCGAAACACCTGCAATGTTTTTTTTTTAGAATCAGGACAACATACGCGGCAAAATGCAGCTCCTGAAACTCTTCATCTGTTCCACTGTTACACATGTCTGACTGTAATCTAAATAATTACAGAAACTTAGTGTTATTAGTCCAGTATCAGTGTATTAACTGATGATATTTCATTTTATATTAAATAGCTCTGTCTGTTCTTTCCTCCAGTGAAGCCCATTGTCAGGCTGAGGTTAGTTGAGTCAGCAGATAGCAAACATCCAGGCTTGTTCATGTGCAGCGCGTACAACTTTTATCCCAAACAAATCAAACTGACGTGGCTGAGGGACGGAAAGGAGGCAACATCTAATGTGACTTCCACTGATGAACTACCCAACGGAAACTGGCTCTACCAGATTCACTCCTACATCGAGATTTCATCGAAACCTGGAGAGAAAATCAGCTGCGTGGTGGAGCATGCCAGCCTCACAGAGCCCAAGGTTTATGACTGGGGTAAGAGAGTGATTGGAGGAGAGTTTATCAGTAGAACTCATATTGGTGTTATCCTTCTAAAATAAGACATATTGAATAAGTGTATATATCTAACACAGTGATAAATGTGTTTTTAGTGCCAATAACTGAAGCAGGGAGGAATAAGATTGCTGTTGGTGCAGCAGGGCTGCTGCTGGCTTTGGTGTTTCCAATTATTGGAGTTATTTTCTACAAGAGGAAGGCCACAGGTGAGACACATAAACAAAAAAAAAAACTCGAACGACAAAATCTGAAACTGTAACTTGGGTAATTGCATTAGTTAATGTAAGCAGTGTGCTGATTATTCCCCATTTCACTCTAACAGTCATTATTCCCACTTCTAACTCTGTCACGGTTACCGTAGCAGCTGCAGTTTTTACTTTAACGTTTTAACACATTAACACAAAATGTCTGCAATCTAAAATGAACAAATTTCAACTCTGTTGTTTTTTATTTATTCTACAGGCCGATCTAACTGAAATGGTGGGAAAAATGAGGTTTAAGGTGGATTAAATGCCCTGCAACAGACTGGTGACCTCTCCAGGTCACCTACCTCTCACCCTGTGACACCTGGGCTCCAGCCCCACCACCACCACCCTGAAGTAGTTAAGTGATGGAAGGATGGAGATTAAATCAGACTTTTACACTCAGATTGAAATGCATACAATTATTTATGATATATATATGAAGTTTGTGACTTGTTGTTATTGTTATTCATAATCTTGTACGCTGTGGTGTACACTAGTGTTAAACAAGTGAGGTGAAGTTTCAGGGAAAAGGTTAACAGTTGTGACTTTTATGAACCATCACTATAAATTAAAAAAGGCAAGTTGAACTATTATATTTGCATTTATATTACATTGATATATTTCATTAATTTATGTAGATTTCTCTGTGCTGTAAATGTTCTTGTCAGCGACGTCGCTGTATTGAAGGTCTGCAACCATTTTCACTTAGATGAAACGATAGTGACTACAAATTTAAATATTTATATATTTTTCTACATTCAGTCATTCTGACAAGTTTTAAAAATTATGCCACGTCTTGATAACGCCAGCTGGACATAAGCTCATACTTATAACTCATATACTTCTCTTGCAAGCAAATATGCTAACTGGCTACTTTTGGAGTTAAATGTGAGGCTATCACAGAAAACCATTACTGCTAGAAGTTCTTCTTTATAAGCTTTTGTACTTGCTATGTATTTGGTTTTGGCTTAGTTTTTGTTCAATAAATAATGACTTGGTGTGATATGTCATGTGTTGTTGTTTATTTGAGGATGCTCAGCCAAGAACTCCACAGAATACAATAAAAATTGAATTGAAATAACAGAGCAGGGCTACAGACTACTAGAAGACAACCAACTCTGTGGATGTGAGTATTTATGAAGTCAGGTGAGCAGCAGAAATCAGTAAAATCTCATTATCAAATGTTCATGTATGTTAAAGTCAAATTAGTGAAGTGTCCTGATTTTATGTCATCATAGCCGACACATATAATGTCTCTACAATAAAATCAGCTGTGTTAAAGACATTGGTTTAATGGTTTTGGATACTGAAAAATACTTTAAAGCAGGTGTTCGTAAACAGAACTCTGCTGAGTTATCTCTGCTAATTTTTCTCTCTCAATTCATATATCGACATTCCCACAGGTTTCAAAGCTGAATTTAGAGAAATCTGCGAGAAGTCTGATTTATCTACTTTATCTTCATTCCAAAAACCTGAAATCATTTATCATTTATGAAGCTCAGCAGTTTTTCTTTTTCCATTTTCTTTCCTGTGGTAAACAAAGCTATGTGCCCCTCTCCTGCTCTCCTGTGGGTATTTTTGGTAATCTGTGGGTTAAAGAAGCCCTCAGTAGTGTCTTATAGATGAGACTGCTGGCCATGCTGATTAGTTGTTTAAGTACAGAAGATAGGATGGCAAATCCTAAAGGCTCAAACAAAAGCAACAGGCTTTGTTTTGTCCCATCTTCCTGTGCTTTACTTGCCCTTTTTATCTTCTCTTTCTTCGAAACCTCGAGCAGAACCAGACTCAGGGAAGCCCCACGATGAGCTGATGGGCTTCCCTGAGCCTGGTTCTGCTGAACGTTTCTTTCTGTTAATAGTGTCACGGTCCTGGGTCTGTGACTCCGTGTGTGTGTTTTCTGGTTTAATTTATATTCTTTGAATTAGTTTTAATCATGTTTCAGTTTCCTTGCTCTTCCCAGTTTAATCATTTGTATTTCTAATTCTTAGGTTCTTGTTCATTTAGCCTGTTCCCTTTTGTGCTCTGGTTGTCTTGGTCTCGTCTGTGTTCTCCCCAGTTCGTCATCCTTTTCACCCTCTCTGTGTTTCCTTTTTTATTTTGACAGTCTCCCATCCTGTGTTCAGTGTGTTGCCGTGTTGATGGTTTGGGACAGCTGTGTTGGGGGACAGCTGTGTTGCTGTTCAGTGTGTTCAGTTTTTCTTCCTCTGTGTCTAATTGTGTCTGATTACTTCCAGCTGTGATCCCTCCTGTTTCCCATCCTCTAATTGTCTTCTGTGTATTTATGTCCTCTGTCGTCCTCTGCTTGTTGTTGTGTTGTCCCACATCGCTATGTTTCCTCTGTGCTTCTCAGATTCCTTGTAATTCCTAGTTTCCAGTTTTAGGTTTTTGTTTCCTTGTATTTAGTGTTTGGATTTTACAGCAAATAAAATATTTTCTTTATCCCTCTGTGTTATGAGTCCTGGGTTTGGGTCCTACTCCTGCCTACCACACAGCGCTACCTTGACAAAAAGGGAGCTTTTCCTTCCTGCCATCACAAAGTGCGTGCTGGTAGGGTGTTGTTTGATTGTTGAGGTTTTCTCCAGAATACTGAACGGCCTTTACCTTACAATATAAAGCACCTTGAAGCGACTGTTGTGATTTGGTACTATATAAATAAGCCAGAATTGAATTACTGTGTTAATATGGTCTGCAGGGTTTTAGGGTTATAAATACATCAGGGAGTTGCATTCAGAGATTCACAGCTAGGATCATATTTCTAAAGGTCTTAGGAAGGCCAACAAATGGGAGCATGTGAATACTTCATTCATTATTATTTCAATTTGCTGGAATAATGGTCACTTTCTTGCAGCAAATTTTATATTATTAATCTCTAAATCTCTAATTTGCCAAAAAAATAAATAAATCATAAAACAACTATTAAAAACATCAGTAACACAAAATTTTATTGGTGGTGATCCAAAGATGCTAAACTGGAAGACCGACACAGGGGATGAGCAGGCTCTATTTCATAATTAAGCTGAGATCTTTGATATGAGTTTTCTGAGATTTTCTGTTCCTCTGTTGTGGTGAGTGCGGTGTACTTTACTGTGGTCTGCTGGGGGAGCAGCGTCAGAGCTGATAGACCCGACAGACTGAATAAACTGATCAGGAAAGTCGGCTCTGTGATCGGCTGATCACTGAACAAACCGTTATCGGTCACGGATAATCACAGATACATCTTTCACATGTAGTAACTTGTGGTATCAAATATCACAACAGCCTGAGAGCAACACATCTGTCCATGGAGGTATCAACTGTTCTCACATGTTAACAGTTTATTTTAACCCTACACCCTTATTTATTTAGTTCTCTCTGTTTGGACTGAATAGAGTCCCACGTATCCACATAATTCACATCCACATAACCACACAACTCATTCTTACACACGGACACACACACCAACTTTAATTAAATATGAAACATGTAGTATTGCATTGTAGTCTAACGAGTTACGTACTGTAGCTAATCTAACTGCTGTAACAGAGGAGTTTCATAGCCCTGTGATAAATAAATATCCTATCTTAGTGTCAGAAGTGTTGTCTCTAAACGCAGTATATATCTATAATCTGTTGTCTGTGGACGCAGATATATCAGTATATATCTTTATTTGCTCGAAGCTTCTGTCCAAAGTGCGCTCTAGTGCGTCACATGTCTGTAAGACAGCACAGAGGGCTTCAGGACCCACAGTCCCCTGATGCGCCTGCGCTCTGTCAAACGATGAGCCGCTTCGGGTTTTATTTTATTTTTCTCTTCTTGTTGATTAAATGTCCGAGTCTGATTCTCTTCCTATGTTTCGCCATTTATGTTTACATCCACTACCGGACGCGATAAAAAAAAAAGTGGAGGGAGAAATAAAGACGGAAAGTGATGAGGGCTGCAGATAAACAACAAACAGCGTCACGGCTCTCTCGTCCTTGTCACTGCATCTCTGCAGGCGTCAGACTGCAGTGACAGGACTGTGCTGTTCCCGTTCCGGAGGTCGAGTCGAGAAGCATCACCAAAACACCGGAGCGGTTACGTTACCGAGCGGCGATAAGACGCAGGAGATGCTTGATAAGAGCCTCATATAAGCTCAGATAGGGAACCAGGCGGAGGGTTTGTGAAGGAAATCTCCTCATGAGCACCAGAGAAGGAGCCACACCAGCGGGTAAGGCTGATAGAAGTCCCTGTCTACACTGTTTGCTTAGCTCGATGGAGACTTTCTGTCTTTTTTTTTTTTTAAACTACTGTATTCTTCTAGTTCACTTTATTCTGCTCCACCTTAACATGTGACGTTAAATAAATACACGGGAGTAGGTCTGGCTTTATTGGGAGGATATCATTAAGAGGTCTGAGGATCCTTCCCCCAAAAGTTTGTGCATCTAACACCCGATCTCCTCAATTCTGGTGAATTTTATTATAGAGCATTTGTATCATGTTCGGAGAAGTACCCTTCTTAACCTTTAACAAATCTGCATTTATTTATAAAACTATTTGTTTCCTTTATATTTCATGTAGTTAACAAAAAAAATTTCAGCAATTTTTATGCTACCCCCCCCCCCTTTTTTTTAGCTTAATTGGCCACCCTTGTCTGTTCCTTAACATTGTATTTGTTTCATTATTGCTAAAAATATGCTTTAAGCTATTTAAACGTGTTTAAATACTATATTTAAATATAAAAACTGTAACTGTCATAAATAATTATCAAATAATTTTCAACAAAAAATCCAAGTGTATAATGTTGAAATACAGCTTCCTAGTATCCCCTGCTACACCAATGTTCCAATTCCTGTAAAAACTATACAAAGTTGCCAGGAAAGTAGATTAAGACAGAGAAATCCATGATAGAAGCACTACATTTTTTCTAACACATATATGCATCGCTGTTGTAAGATAAACTTAGGCAATCTTCTCAGCTGTGTAACTGAAACTCAGGATTAGTTAGCAAAAATATTTCTAAAAACCAAACAACACTATCCAGGGGCTCAGAACTTTGTTCATTTTCTGGAATATATATTCTCATATCAAACCACCTCCTCCTTTTATCCTGCTGCAAACTGAGAACACTGTGTTTCTGAGATAATTACTTTTACCACATATTTCATGGTTTTTAAATTAAATAGACCCACCGTTGACGGAGGCATTTCTCACTGAGTAATGTTATGAGTTCTAAATATATGACACCTTTGCACTTAGTCCTATACTCAAGGACTGTACTTAAGGACACATTTGAACTATTTGTATATTTTCATGCCAAACTGCTTTGGACTTCTGCTCCTCTGTCCATTTATCTGGCAGCTTTATTTTCGCAGTTGACATTTTCAACAACAGAGAAATGTTCGCCTTTCTTGGGTCATCCTGTACTTGTCAAGTCTTTGGTTCTGCCTGTTTTAGATGTCATTTTTGTTCGCTTGTGATGTTTATGTGGACTGACTTTTTGCTTTGCCTTTTGGACTTTGTTTCATGGACTAAGGCTCATTGTTTGTTTAATCCTGCCTGCCTTCTGAGTCTGAATGAGGGTTTTTAACCTCCACACTGTGAATGCTCCAGACCAGCAAACTGAAAACCTTTTGCTTTTATAGAAGTGCTCATGCTTGCTGATGATCAGTTAATTAAGTACATTTGATGAGCAGGACCTGGCTGCTACTTACACTCTTAATTTCTATGGAAGCATTAAGCTTCCAATTCGTTTTTCAAACTTTCTTTCTCTAATGACTGCATATCTAAGGTTTAATAAGTCGCATTTTGTTTTTTTGTTGTTCTCCATAGTTCACCTCTGACAAGACATAGGAGTGACCCTGCCGTTTGCACTGATGGGTCTGAGTCTGTCACGTTGGTTTTGCAGCAGGACAGCCGACAGGCCTCCGTTTTTGTCATCAGCATTCCTCCCACTGGCCGTCCCAACCTCCTCTCGCCTTGCAGTTACGCTGAACTCCCCTCCAGTTTCCCCAGGAGACAGTCGTTCACACTGGAGCACAGTCCACCGTTCTCTTCACTTCCTGCTGTCCCCCTGCAAACAGGAAGCGACCCGCTCACCCGCTGAGCTTAGCAGCGATGGCGTGAGGGCGGAGATAGGAGTGAAGAGTGGACTTCATGTCTGGGAGGTGGTGTGGAGGCCCGAACACAGAGGGACTCATGCCGTCGTGGGCATTTCGAGGCAGGACTGTCCCCTGCAGTCTTCAGGGTACAATGTGCTGGTGGGAGCAGATTCACAGTCCTGGGGATGGGAGCTCAAAACCAATCAGCTCTGGCATGGTGGGCAAACTCTGAAGCTTTACCCAGAAAATGGGAGTAAGAGGTGTCACTCTGAGATGGCAGCTGATTCAAAGTCACAGTCCTCCTCTTCATCAAGTGCAAAGATGGCACAAACACCTCTCCTCATTCCTGAGCGTGTCCTGCTGGTTCTGGATGCCGATGCCGGGACTCTGGGTTTTGTTGTCAATGGCAGCTTCCTTGGCGTAGCTTTTAAGGACCTCCCTCGAGATGTGGAGCTGTTCCCAACAGTGAGCAGTGTGAGAGGAGGAGCCTGCATTCGACTGCGCTACATGAATGGTTCTACACGTGAGTGCCTCATTTATTTATTTGTCTTTGTACGCAGAAATATTAAGATAAAACACAGCCTTATACTAAACTATGTTGTTTCTGGCTTGTTCTCAGGAGATCCTCCATCCCTCATGGCTTTATGTGGACTGTCGATTCGTCAGAATTTAGGACAGAAAAGGTTAAAACATATGGACAAATTGCCTCTACCCCCTTTTCTCCAGCGCTGCCTGGCTTCCAGTCATTAATCTTCCATGCAAACTGACAAGATGGATATTATTATCAGTTACTACAGTTTACCAAGGATCCATTCCCTTTTCTATGAAATACTGACGTAAATTCTGTAAATCTTACATTATATGCACTAGTATAATTATTTTTTATCTTATTTATTACAAATGTGTATGTTTATAGATGTTTTGTAATATTTTTAAAAGAAATTTGGGGGATTTAGAGGCAGTTCTGTGTGGTACAGGTCTGGTTTCTTCTTTTGTGTATCTAATAAATGAGCTGTTTCAAGTGATTTTTATTCTTTTCCTGTCCTTTCACAAACCACAATGTTTGGTTTTGACAATAAAGCTCAGATCCAATAAGGAATATAAAATTATTTGTATGGAAATACTGATGTAATGTTTTCAACCAGCATAAGAAGCCAAGTACAGTGGCAGGATAGATATATACTTAATTTTGTTTAAGTGACTGAAAGCCTGTCTCATATACAGTGTACTCATATTATTCCTGTATACTGTAACATGCCCATACTTCCACACATTTGTTTGTAGTTGTAATTTAGGATATATTGTGACATTAGCAATAATACACCCTCTTTAATTCTAAGGTTTTATCAATCAGGACATACCAGGTCCAGGTTCTAATATTATTTAACTACGACCTTAAAAACAACAGCACATAAGATTTTATAACATGTCATTACGTAACAAAAACTAGACCACAATGCAGAAGCAGTGTATGAAAAACTAAGCACAGCCCACGATTCAGTTGCTTATAAAACCACCTTTAGCAGCAATAACTTGAAGTAATGGTTTTCTATATTACTTCATCAGTCTCTCGCATCGTTCTGGAGGAATGTGGGAACTTACAGCGTTGCATCACAGCTCAGCTCCCCTAAGGTCCCAGCACAGAATTTGAATCAGGTTTCTAATTGTGCTGTCATAAACATTACCATTTAACATGCTGAGGCATGTAGAGTTTGAAAGGTAGCTCTTGGGTTTTTTGATCTGATCTTGGGGTTAATTTCCTGGGAAATTAAGTCCTGTGAAGATTGGCAACTACTTTCAGTGTTTTCCATTTGTGAATAATCTTCCTCACTATAGAATAATGGAGTTTACCGGTAGATTGTTTGGAAATGACTTTATAAACCGCCCCACATTGATGGGCAGCACCAGTTGCTTCTTTAAGATGATTGCTGATGTTTTTCCTCCTTAATATTGTGTTAACACACACTGTAACGCTGGAGGCCAACAAACTGTCAAAAATTAAGCTTTTATAGAGGTTCTCACACTTACTGATGATCAGTTAATCAGTCACCTGGCTGCTTTGTACTTATTTTTTCACACACTTCTTTATTTTGCCTTCGTTTTTGTTGAATAAATAATCACACAGTGTGATGTGTTGTGTGTTGTTGCTCACCTGCTAAGAACCAGATGCTCCCTCTGCAGGTGGCAGACAAATTACTTGAAGTTTGCTAATCCTGCTGATCGATGCTTGCATGCAGGACATGTTTAAATCCTTCATACAGGCACCTCCTCTCCATCGACGTAATCCACAAAAAAGTCGTGTTTGGAGTCCTACCAGGAGTGGATGCAGTAATCCCATCAGCTGTACACTCCAACCATCAACCACCCCACACCTATGCTACATAGAGTACAGATAGCTAGACAGACAAACAAAAAGGTTTCATATGTTGAAAGAGCTTTCTGAACTGATTAATTGTACAGAACTAATAGCGAGAGAGATGTGGTTGTTATGGCAACCGGGAAGGCGCCTTTGAGCACTTGAAGGTGAGTTTGTGGAAAACAAGCACTGTTAAAGGTTGTTAAAGTTATTTTATCAGTCTCATTTCTGTTATAAGCTGGACTCTATCAGTTATATAAAAGATTTATTGACGTGGCAGTACTCTAAAACAAATTTAATTCTATAGCCGGTTTCTAAATAAAAATATAAGTAAGTTATAGTTAACCTAAACGAGCTAGCTTACATCGTTAGCCCAACAAGCTAACTGGAGCTACAATAATTTCAATTATTATCATAATAATGTCTGTAATATAATTCCATGTTTTGTTTTTATCTTTAAAGGACCCCCTAGCGAGTTTCAAAAAGGTATTTTTGTCTGACTTGCAGTTTAGTTGTTTTAGGAAGCCATGGTTTTCTTTAAGCATCAGTAGTAGTAAGCTATTTAAAGTGAAAAAGCTCTAAAAACCCACCCTGCTCAGCACTAAAGTGCAAGGCAGACAGCCTTGGACAGCCTGTTAATGAGAGTGACTCATTTAGCAGTTAAATGGCTCCATATTTCCCTAAGGAGGCAGAAAAGACAGAGAAGAACATAAAACATAAAATACAATGAATATTGGATTTATCGGGTGACTCCAAATTACTTTAATCTGACTTGTCCTTGTAGAATTAATTATTCATGGCAGCAGCTCTTGATAACCTTAGAGGAGGAGGTGTGGTTTTTGGACCTTCTGGCAGTTTTGAAGAAGAAGATGAGGAGGACTCTCCTGCAGTAAGCTCTGATTTTCACATTCACCAGCAGCACTCATTTAATGTTATATGGGAGTTATATGAGAGTTTGAGGGCAGTCAAACTTACACGTTTGCATGTCTGTTTTCCAGGTTTTACTGAGTGTTTTGGTCCAGCATGGGCAGGTGGGCCTCTGCTTCTATGACAGTCAGGACTCATCTTTACACTACATGCCGGACACGCCCGACAACCAAGAGCTCCACCTACTGGTGAGAGGTAAGCAATGCACCTGTATGAGGCAGGTATTGTAGAATCGATACACTTATCTCCACACAATGGTAAATTGTAAAACCCTCAGGGAGACTTACAGTATGTGTTAAACAAAAAACAAAAAACACTTGCGTTGCCATAAACTCTCTTTTTCTCTGTTTTACAGTCATTCAGGAGGTTAGTCCCCATGTAATTATCACCAGTGCAAAGCAGGAGCGCTCCATGACTCTCTTTTTGCAACAGTTAGGTGAGCTTTGGGAGATGATACTTATCTTACCACGAAAGAGGGAAAACAGAAAGACCTTTTAGACAGTTTCTTTTAAGACGTGGTGTGGTACATGTGGTCTGGGTCAGAGGAATGAGGTTGAGGTATGTCTGACACTGAAACCAGCCCGTGTGGTAAGTCAGTGGTGCAGTTTTTAAACATCCTGTTCCCGGGGTGCCTGTGGCTCTACCAGTTGGAAGGTCGTGGTTTGATCCCTGGCTCCTCCAGTATGTATGTCGAAGTATCTTTGGGCAAGACACCGAACCCATTACAATGTGAGTGTTGTGAGGTTTGCACTAAGAAAATACTTTGAGTGCTCAAATAAAGTTCATCCATCCATCTATCTTCTTCCACTTTATCCGGGCCCGGGTCGCAGGGGCAGCAGCCTAAGCAGAGAAACCCAGACCTCTAGCTTATCCGGGGGAACACCAAGGCGTTCCCAGGCCAGCCGAGAGATATAATCTCTCCAGCGTGTCCTGGGTCTGCCCCGGGGCCTCCTCCCGGTGGGA